CGGTGTTTGCTACCCCAGCATATAGCCCATCCTGCACCAGTCGCACACTGAGGGTGCTCTATCTGTGAACCATCGGTAAAGACCACCAGATCCAGGGGATTGCGTTGTTGTAGCCAGCTCTTAAAGTCTTGTGCTGCCTGTTCCTTTGTGCGGCCTGCCTCATACCCAATCTGCAGATCTTCTTTCCTGGGAAATCTCATCCAAGGGGGCGTGAGTAGAGGGTCATATGCTTCTATCCCACCAGCATGACTGGACGCTCTAGACAGACGTGTGGTATAGGGTTTGGTGGTAGCTACTTTATTAGAGCGTCTCACTAGCGGGTGCCTCTTGTCAAGCTTTTTGATTCTTACTGCAAATACAGCACGCCGGTTGTCTAGTGTCTCTTTCATTGGCATGATTCCTAGCTCACGGTGTAGAGCTGAAATGGGTGTGGTCTTGTAGACTGGCAGTGCCCCTCGCAAAGCATCTCTAAGGGCTAGATCTAGCTTTCTGACTAGGCAATCCATTTGATTGGAGATTTCCTTTCCCTTCTCCATTCGTGTGGCTCCAGGCCACCAGGCCTCTGCTCCATAGCAGAGCACAGAGAGCACACAGGCCTGAATGAATTGTCTAAGCAGTTGTACTGGGGCGCCTCTTGCTGTGTTGCTTAGTGCTCATATGCCATTAGACACCTGTCGTGCCTTAGCCGCCATGGTCTCCACGTGTTTCTTGAAGCTCAGTTTTCTATCTAGCCAGATTCCTAGATATCTTATGGAGCTTTTCACTGCCTTTGCTGTAATAGAGTGAGTGCCAGATGTTGTTTCAAGGTCAATTGAGGGGTTTGAAAGGGTTCTGCGCCGTGTGAAGTGTGCTATCTCAGTTTTGGCAAAATCAAATGTCAGCCCTTCTTTGCTGGCCCAATCATTTAGCAACTTGAAATCCTCCTGAAGAGTAACAACATTCCCTTCAAGAGTGGTTCCAGCACTAAGCAGTCCTAGATCATCTGCGTAGCCTAAGCGTGCACGTCTTCTTTGTATAGTTCCTAGAAAGAACAGAGGCTGAATAAACAGCATGAATAGAATAGGTGAGACTGGCGAGCCTTGTGGAAGCCCTGCTGGGATATCAAAGAGCTCTCCCAGGAGTCCATCCAATCTGATCCTGCCTGTGCGTCCTGTCATGAAGCTTTCCACCCATCTAATTAAATTTGGTGGCCAGCCTTGTTCTTGCAATCTCCGCAGCATCCTTCCTCTGAGTACAGCATCAAAAGCACCCTTGATGTCCAGAGTAAGAAGAGAGACTACTTTTCCATGGGCCCAGGCTTCCTCTATATCATGAACCATCGCTGCCACTAGGTCTGAGGCAGCCCGCCCAGGGAGGGCTCCAAAATGCTGGGGGTGGACAATCTTCTCTTGTATAGCTGTCCAGGCCAGCCTACGGGCTACCAGGCGTTCCAGTCCCTTCCCCAACGTTGAGAGAAGGGCTATAAGCCTGTAGGATCGCGGGAGTGTTGGATCTCTGTTGACCTTAGGCAGCACAACCAGTGTGGCATCTTGAAAGGAGGTTGGGTGCCAGCCAACCCTAAGGCAGGCTCTGAACAGCCTTTCCACTGATACCTTAATATGTGGCCATGCCTTTCGTAGCACCTCTGTTGGCACTCCATCAGTTCCTGGAGTGGTATTACCCGTGTTCAGCAGAGAACTTTGTATCTCATGTGCTGAGGCAACAGGAAAAGGTAATTTGACAGATGGTGGGTTGGACCAGCTAATTGGGATATCCTCTCTGCTTGCAGCCTTCTGTAAGAGCACCCGTTGCAGAAGGTCTCTTTTCTCTCTAGGGGTTGTTCGCGTTCGCCCAGTCTCTTCATCTACAAGAGGGGGGGAATGAAAGGAGCCAGTTGAATGGGCCCATTTGATCATCTTAAAGATATCTTTCCCCACTGAGGCCTCTGCTATCTTGCCTCGCCAGTATTCTCTCTTGGCTTTCCTGGTGGTCCTGGCTACGTTGCTTTTTGCTTCTCGTAAAAAACTAGAGCCTAGGTGCTGTGCACGATGTAGTGTTGTCACTGCTTTCTGGCAGTCCTCATTCCACCATGGCTGACCTGTGCCTTGCCCGGTGCTCTTCTTGGTGGAACTTTCCAGGGAGGCTATTAGTGCATCTGTGATACCTTTAGCCAGGGCATCCAGCTGATCTGTATTGGGGTACTCTGGGAAATCACATAGTTTGTCTAGTTTTGGCTTATAGGCCTCCAGCGTCTGGTTAAAGACCTTCTCATTCATGGTGTCGAGACGGAAAAAATGGGTTGGCCTGTCAGGCCTTGCGCCCTGTGGAAGGCTGATTTTGGTGAGAAGAGTCTGGTGGTCAGAGGAAGTGTAAAGGGATCTGTCCACCTGTGTGTCCACTCCTTTGATAACTAATTCCGGGGTGGCCCAGGCCAGGTCTATCATGTTATGCCCACGTGTGGGAGTGTCTGGGTCCATGGTGAGAGTAAAGTTGAAATTCATGGTCCATTGCAGGAATGGTTCCGCCCACATGCTTGGAGGCACTCCTGGTTGCCACACGGGGTGCTTGATATTGAGGTCGCCAGCAAGGAGCAACGGGAGTGCTGGGACAGACCAGGAGAGAAGACAGCCCACACCTTGTCCAGGATCCTCTGCGCCTGGGGGTGCATTGTATATGTTGACTGTCTGAAGCTGTAGACCCCAGGCCTGTATGTGCAGCATGTGGATGTCCCGGTTTTCTGCCCAGGGGCCTGGGACTGCATGAGCATGGATTTGTGGGTGTTTACGCACATAGGTGAGGACCCGTGGCTTCCTGTCCCACTTTTCAATTGGGGCAAAGCAGTTGAATGCTGGATGCTTTTTGGAGATGCGTTGGCTTAAGTTCCTGTGAATCCAGGGTTCCTGTATGAGAAGGATGTCAGTCTTTCTTTCAAATGCTAGATTGAGGGCCGTCTCGTGTGCTGGGCCCCCTTTTCCTACGTTGACTTGCATAATCTGCAGGAATTGCGGAGATCTAGAGTTCTTCTTCATTGAGTAGCTGAAAGGAGGGTGTTGTTGCGTGAGATGACGTGTTGGGTGTTGCATTAGATGTTGGGTTGGGCGCCATGCCTAATGCTGTGCCTGATGCTGTGCTCAATGCTGTGCTTGGTGCTGTGTTTGATGTCGGTGTGAGGTTAGATCTACGCTCAGTAGAATCATTCAACCTCAGGTCTGCTGATGGCCCTCGACCACCGCATTTGCTGTTACTTGCCTTGGCCAAGTATGCCTTACTCTGTGCATTGCGGATATCCCTCAGCTGGTTTCTTGAGTGCCTTTGAACAGTCCCATTCTTTATCCCTGGTCTGGCGGGGCAGGATGGATCATCCGCGGCATGTGGTCCAAGACAGTTAGTGCAGTGATTGGGGCATCCACATGCTTCATTCTCCTTATGACAGGATGGATTTCCTTTCACATGATTCTTAGAACTGCATTTTTTGCAGCGAGGGACGCGGAGGCAGTATCTCTCTTGATGAAATCCCCAGCATTTGCTGCATTGTTGTATTTTGACCTTAGGTGCCTTTCTGATCACTGGTCTTTGATATCCATATAGTTCCACTTTTGATGGCAGGTTTACTGCTGTCTCTTGCGAAAAGTGTAATATAAGAGTGGCTGTTGGGTTTCCAGGGTGTATTTTTGCCCAGCGACTCTGGACAGGCTTGATTCTGGTTTGGAGTGTGAATTCTTCTGTCATGGATTCTGCTGAGAGACGCAGAGTTCCACCACCATAGTCACTAATCTCCATGGGCAGCCCAGGAATCAGGCAGGTGATCCAATGTTCTTCCTTCTCTATCTGAGTATTGGTGAGGGTGGCTGCTAAAACATTCTTTTGGGCTAGCAGGGCCTCCATGTCTTGCAAGCTTCTAGGAATGATGGCAATGCCTGTGGGGATGGCTTGAACTGCTGTGATGGCTGCTGCCAAAGGCCCTGGGAGTTCAGCCTTCAGCTTTCTAAGAGTAGCAATTGGGCTTGCTTTGCGAGCTAGATGATCTGAAGGCAGGCGCGCGAGGATTTGTGGTGTTTTTCCTTCTCTGGGGTTATTCCTAAGCAGGGGTTTCTGCAGTATGGTTGCTGGTGTTTTTGTTACATTGGTGCTGTCTGCAGCTGTCTTTGTGTAGGTAGGAGCTCTTGCATCATTTGCACCAGTGGAGCCAGCAGGCTTGATTGTGGTGGACTGCTTAGCTGTTTCTAGACTTCCATTGTACCAGTCCTTGACTAACGCCTTCACAGCGGCTCCAAGGGCCAGTGCCCTTGATAGGCCTTTTGCCTTCATGACATCTAGGTCTTCTTCAATCCGATCAAGCATATTTGCAGCCGCTAGTGCTTCTGCATGGGATTTCTGTGCCTCAGCCTCGTGGGCGGCTAGGAGATCGCTAGCCATCGGGCCACGTAGGTTGAGGTGAATTGGTGCGACATTTCTGCTCTTTGAGCTGCCTGCTGGTGTAGGGGAGCTTGGAGACTCCATGTCATTCAGTTCACATGTGCGGCGGGCGATTGGGGTGAGGAGATGGGGTCTCTTGGGTGGACGGCGTATGGGGGAGCAGATGCGCGTCAAGGCTCGGGACGCGTTCGGTGGTGTTGGGGGGCTGGGCGCGCTGGCGGCGCTGCGTCGGCACGCCATCAGGCTTGCTGCCTGAGGGGATGGGAGAGAGCTTATAGGGATGTGATCAGGATTGATTAAGATGTTTTTGTATAACGATCAGAGAGTTGCGTTGTGATAGCTCCACGTTGTGTTCCCTTGGGACCTTAGGCATTGGTTTAAGTTCCATCTTACGCTTTTGTGGAGAGGGTCACATGACCCAACCGTTGTCCTAGCAACGCAAACACTAAACCATCTATGGTAATACGCAAACTTATACCTCAAAACAATCTTTGCATGATCTGTACAGTTGCATGCATGCATAGAGTTGATATATCATCTATTTCCTGCGCAATTTTTTTTTTTTTTTTTAAATCTGCGCGTTCTGATGAAATCTTCCTTTGATCATGCGGCGTGATATATCTCTCCTCTCCCCCTCAGCAACCCCTTCAGAATCTCCTAGGAAGCCGTCACGAAGTATGAGCAGCATATGCACCAGGTCTACAACTACTGTTGCTGCTACTCCCTCTACGAGAAAAGTGTATGGCAAGGGGCAGACAAATGCTGCGCGCGCAGTTCTCGAACGGGATGTCAATAATCATGTTCTGAAAAGGGCTTCTGCTGTCGTAAAAACACAGGAGCGCATAGAGTCCGCGATTGATGATATGATTACGGCTGTCTCTGCGCTTCAGGTGGGCGCTGGTAATGGAACGACAAAACGTCTAAATGAACAAAGAGAAGAGGGAGTCAACACTACAATCAAACAACAAGCAGATACCGAGGAGGAAAAGGAACAGCAGCAGCCCATCATCAAGATACGGACACTAGAAGCCCAAACACAAGCACAAGAACAAACCAAACCAAAACCTAACCCCAAACGAAAACCCCGCAGATCCTCCGGCCGTATCGAAGACATAAAGCTAACAGACTACGTCCGCCCCATCCTCAACGAAGCCACCTCCCGAATCTCCTCACGTGGAATCCAGCGATTCGCAAGCTGGTCCCGGCGCGCGGGTGACATGTTCACCGTTGAAAAGATCGCAGAGGGCTCATACGGCGAAGTCTACCAAATGCGCTTCAGAAACGCTGATATCCCATCCGAGAGAAATAATAACAACAACCTTTCCAAGTCCCGTATGGCACGTCTGAAGGCCTATTATCGCGATGGCGTGTTTAAAATCATTCCCCTCCGCGCGCAGCGGGGTGTCGGCTCTAAGAAATTCACCGCAGTGTCCGAGATAGTGGCGGAGGTGCAGCTGCTTAAGCTTCTGGATCCAATCCCGGGATTTGCCAGGTTTAGGGAGGTGCATGTTGTGCAGGGGCGGTTTCCGGAGGCGTATCAGCAGGCGTGGATGAGGTATAGCCAGACGAATAAGGGGGAGAATTGTCTGAATCCCGATCCGAGTAAGGCTAAGTCGTACCCGGATACGCAGCTGTGGGCGGTTTTGGAGATGGATAATGCGGGCATTGAGTTGGAGAGGTTTGAGTGGGGTTCTGCCTGTGAGGCATATGATATCTTTTGGGGGGTTGCGCTGGCGTTGGCGAGGGCGGAGCAGTTTGCGGCTTTTGAGGTACAATTTATTTTTATTTTTATTATTATATTTATTTTTATATGGTGGACGATAATTTTTTCTTATATTAAGTGGGGTTGTTGCTGACAGCTTTTACAGCACCGGGATCTGCACCTTGGCAATATATGTATCAAACCTACGAAAAAGAGAATTTCGACGGTGGGATTGCCTAAATCAATCAATGCGGCGTTGCAGGGAGACCTGACTGGGTTTGGATTGAGCGGGCTTGAAACTACGATTATTGACTATTCGCTTTCGAGAGCGGAGTTGCAGCCAGAGGGGAATTTGGATGAAAACGAGTCGCGGAAGAAACATCCAGTGGTGGAGATTGCCTGGTCGGATCTGGATCAGAGGCAGATCTTCGACGCTGTTGGGCGGGACGAAGATGAGAAACTCCTTCGAGATACTTATCGATAGTAAGTTCCCGTTTACCTACCCAATATATATATATATATTTAACTAGTCCTTAAACCACGCATTGTGTCTCCTAACACTGCCTTTTGTAACATCACAGTATGCGATCCCAAGTATACCACCAAGACGACCTTCTCAGCCCCACGCAACCCGCCACTAAACCCGGACAATGGAAAAACTACAACCCCAGAACGAACCTTATATGGCTCTCATTCCTTCTGCAAATGCTCATGAAGAAAACGAAACCGTCTCCATGCCCTTACCCGCGGCCGGCGCCAGAACAACAGCAACAGCAACAGCAACAGCAGCAACGGCGGCAGCCACTCACACAGCGGCCCGCAAACTGCAAATTGGACAACAATATCCCCATCAACAACGGAAACTCTCCATGCAAGACGGTGAAGAATGAGAAGAAAACGCAGCAGGCCCATGTCACCAGGGATGACGAAAATGGCAACAGGGGGAAAAAAGCTGGGTCGGGCGTCGATGTGGATCTGGATATTGCATGGCGGAAGCTGGAAGCGGAGTTGGGAATGCGTCTACAGACGACAGCGGAGATGTTGAGTGTGCAGTGCGGGATTGAGGAGCTGTGTTCTGCTGGGGATCTGGTGGCTGTTGCAATTGGGGCTGGCTGGTTGGGGGAGGGGGATTTCTTGTGTTAGGGTTTGTTGATTTTCAGTTTTTTTTGGGGTGGGCCGCTTTGTTCTTGGATTATGTATAGAGGTTGGGGTGGAGTTTTTCGTATTGTATCATTTTGCATCTTAGGTTTCCCCTTTTTGCATATTTTCTACAGCGGAAGTTCCCTTACGTATTCTAGCGAAGAGATAGCATTTAATGTTTACGATGCTTTAGAGTTTGGGTTTTATTATTATTATTATTATTATTATTATTATTATTATTATTATTATTTTTATTATTATTATTATTTTGCTCATACCTGTTTAGCGGACTAGATGGTACATATATTTATTGATATAGCAAGTATCTTGCAGTATATATTGTCAGTATTCTTCAATTTACTTGTCCCTAATAGCCATTGAGCGCAATGACTAAAGGAGAGAAACTGAATAAAGCTGGTAGAGTTTTACCTCAGCTCCCCTGGTTGACGATGATGCCGCTTACACGGGAGGTTTATTATCCCACTGGCCTGATCGACCAGGGAAGGTTGATGTATATATATTCGCTTGCGGATTATCTTTGGTGGGGTAGTGTCTTTGTGTATATAGATATTTACAGTTCCGCTGTATCGCGGAACCTGTCGGGAGGCTTGGGGAAGGTAGGTCTCGGGTCGGACGGGAGACGTGGTGGGGCCGGGCCCGATGCCGATGCCGATGCCGATGCCGATGCCGATGCCGGCATCGTTGCAACCGTCCCGGCTGGTTGCCAATTGGCGGGATGTGCAGGACGGGAATAGGATACATAGCACGCAGAAAGAGTAATGGTTAAATACTGATCTCATTTGACGATAGATAGTAATATTATCATGTTAGGCCCCTCGCGTGGAGGGTAGATGGATTAAACTGTTCTAGTCCGTACCTTCAACTTGTCAAGTTTTATATAACATATCCGCTGCTCATGAATGGTGGTTTTAAGACTTATATGGGAGAACGGAGGTGAACATTTTGCTTTATATATTCTTATTGTATTATGTAGTCTCCTTTCATAAAACCTGAATAAGGTTTAAGGCAAATGAACTGATAGTAAGGAGATGTCTAACGATCTCTAATCCCCCCATCCCTTTCACCATCAAGGGATTGAATGACGACGAGAAGGTCCAGAATACATAGCCCGCCTTGCCAAGCGTCAAAAGCCAGGATACGTAAACAAAGTCCTTCTCCAACAGCTCAAGTTAATCCTGACACACAGACAAGAATTCATTACTGAATTTGGTTAGTGATGTTATGCATGGACAGACGTTTACCAGAATTAAAATGGCAAACAACCGCCCGAACCTATTGAACATAGCGTGTCTATCTAGTAATGTAGCGGAGCCATGGTGCAGAACTTGCGGCGCATCACCTTACTGGCCGAACAGGAATGAAGACCCATACCGGGAATGGTCAGATTTAGTTAGGCGAATTATTGCTCTGAGTTAGTTTCTGGTGGGGTTGCAGGGCGGCGGGGTATCTAAGATGCGACGGTTCGGGGTGTCAATCAGGCCCCACTGAGATGAAAGTGGAGCAGTTGCTTTTTAAGTTCTTGGTAAAGTCCGCTTAGTAGATCTGCGGTTTTCCAAGTCAAGAGGGGAAATCATCATATATCACAAAGAATATATCCCCCATCAATATCAAGATTATGAAGTTCTTTATAAAAGATGTAGTTATCTGGGTGTGAGGACACGCTGCAGTAAATAACGTGACGTGACATCTCACACCAGGCAGCACTTCCCCGCAAACAACCTCCTCCCCCCCCGCCTTTGAGAGAGATGACGCCGGCCATTGGTGGAAGGAAGATTCTCAGGTTTAACAAGCTCAGCAACAATCACTCCACGGGCTGCTTGAGAGAAGACACATGGGGCAATGCTGGACATGGCCCTGCGATTTCTTCTTCCTCTCAGTGTCTAGCAGCAAGTAGCAGTAACTAATGTATGCTGCTGCTAGTTAACCCCGCCCCTTCTCCATCCCCTGTATATCCCAATCTCAGCCCCTCCCCCCCCCCCCCCCCCCCCAGCAAAGCTTCCCCAAGTAACTTATAGAATCATCCTCCGTCTTCATGGTTGACTCTCCCGTAGCCAGCTGGGAGGTGCCGCAAGAGGAGAAGACACCCCGCGACACGGGCACGAAACCTAAACGCTTCCAATGCATGCGGTGTCAGACGCGCTTTGCACGACTCGAGCATCTTCAACGCCATGAGAGAATACGTGAGCACACTGTCTTTTCTATAGGATTAATACAAGCTATAAATAAATATAGCTCGTATTATGTGTTTTGTCTGGAGATGTGAAGACGGAGTTGACTTTGTGGTACTGTAACTGTATTCGTTTTCTAGATACCCAGGAAAAGCCCTTTTGCTGTCAGTTATGTGACCACCGGTTTACCAGAAGGTAAAATTTTATACCCTACCTATCGAAATCTTAGAGCTAGGTGATGAACTCCCGATAGATCTTGGAGGGATAAATATCTATAGTTGCTCACGGATTTTTGCTGATTTATTTACTCACTTAGTGATCTCTTGATCAGACACCAACGTCTTTCACACAACAAGGACGGGTCTCGGAAAAAGAACCCACACACTCCCAAGACGAGGAAGTCAGCGGCCAGGAAGCTAAATGCCTCTCATTCCACTCCTGCGCCATATCTGTCCCCATCCCCGATCGTTGAACCTCCGCTATCAGTGGAGGATGGGGATGTACGAACACATCCAGCTGGTGACGTGCATCCACCTATTTCCATGCAAGCAATCATCGACGCCGGCAAACACTCTCTGGCCACACTGACAATGGCCGCTGAGCATGTAGCGCTCGAAATGCCTGACCAAATCGCCGATACGAACACACAGACGAACCGTTGTTTTCATTCAATCACAGTCCCAGAAAATGCTAAATCCAGCAACAACTTCAGAAAAGAGCCAGTTTCCAAGCCACCAGAGCAGTCTGTGGTTATCGACTCCTGTGGTGTTAACGTGGACTTTGAGACTTCCCTTGCTGAGCTTGCGCTAGTCCTGAATAACGGTGTGCTCTCATCGCACCATTTTGAAGCAATTGTTAGAATGGAGCAGCCGACGCTGTTTTTTGCGCCGGAATTTTCAGATCATCCAGGAAAACTTGGGGCAGGTCTCCCACGGCAAGCTGCAGCCCATTACAAACAGAATTCCGATCAGACAAACAAAACTTGCCCCGCTTCCTGGTTCCGGCCATGGCTTCCATCTCCATTGCCTAAAGAACGGAGCTCGAAGCGTCAAACTGGGCATACCATTCCATCGAAGACACCGTTGCCTGAGATTTCGCCTGATGCCATGCGAGATATTCAGTCAAGATTAAGTGAATTTTTCTCCGTAATACCTGCTGGGTTTCAGCTGCCTTCCCGTCTTGCACTGTCTCGTTACGTCGCTGGCTATATAAATGGTTTTCACGAGCATTTCCCGTTCTTGCATGTCCCCACAATGTCCGTCAGCAGTTGCTCTGTGGAGCTCATTCTCGCCATGGCCGCCTTGGGGACACAGTACTGTTTCGAGGACGAAAAAGCTATTGAGTTGTTTTATGCCAGTAAGAGAATCGGGATGGAGCGTATTAGGCGTAGAGAGGCCAAACTTGCGGCATTAAATCGTCACTCGAAGTCAGAATTGGCTTCTTCCGCCCATGTTATGGATGATGCTTCAACTTCCCACGGTTCGTATCGATCCCAATCCATGCCTGGACCATCTATCTTACTTCCGAAATCGCAACCTTCCCCACTGGTAGCACCAGACCGAGAAGATCTGATTCAAACAACCCAGGCGCTGTTAATATTAATGGCAATAGCAACGTGGGCAAAGCATAAGGAAATAGTCCGCGAGGCTCTTGCCCTCCAGAGCATGCTCTCTACTCTTGTCCGAGACGATGGCCTCCGAAGTCATCCCGTGCCCGATGATATCTCATGGGACGAGTGGATCCAAATCGAAACCAGAAAACGGACGAAATTCGCCGTATACTGTTTCTTCAACCTTCACTGCATCGTGTATAACATCCCTTCCCTCATCCTGAATTCTGAACTCAATCTTCAACTTCCCTGTAGCGCAGTAGAGTTCAATGCATCCAACCGGCTGAAATGGCTGGAGGCGAGAGGGAACGCTGGAGGTCCTCAAATAGATTTCCAGACTGCGGTTAGCCGCTTGTTCTCGCATGGCGGGCACGACATCATGGAACACAATTCATCGCTGGGCAATTACATTTTAATCCATGCGATAATCCAACATATATATTTCCTCCGTCAGTTTTATGGGGGTAGATTCGATGGCAATCACGATGTGGCACCGGATGATCTAGTAACTACCGAGAACGCACTGCGTAACTGGCAAACAGGCTGGAAATGCAATGTCGAATCACACCTCGATCCTCAGGATGCTAATGGGCCGACGGCATTCAACTCAACTGCGCTTCTGCAACTCGCCTATATTAGGTTGATTGTCGATACAGGCCCTGGACGGGCGCTGGATACTCGCGATCCGGTACAGATCGCCAGAGCGTTCGCTGCAAGCCCGCGCATCAAACGCACGCCGAATCTCATTCGAGCCGTCCTGCATTCCGTCCACAACCTGAGTATCCCCGTGAAAGTCGGAATTCGACTCATGTCGAGTACACAGTCATTCATCTGGTCAATTCAGCACTCTCTATGTTCCCTGGAATGCGCCTGTTTGCTCAGCAAGTGGCTGGAAGCGTTATTACTTCCTCATCCAGATCCGCCGGTGACGGAGGATGAGTGGCGGATAGCTGCACTTGTAAAAATGATGCTGGATGAAACGGAATTTGCTCCCGTGGAGAACAAGTCTTTTAATTCTGCCGTGATGATCAAGCAGATAAATTCAGGTGTGCTGCGGGTGTGGGCGAAGATTTTCGGAGGGGCGCAGACTTGGGCTATTGTTGATGTTATTGGGAGTTCGCTGAATGTGTATGCGGATATGATTGATGCAGATTGTTGATCACGCAGATTTTTGTGGTTCTTGGTAATATAAGTAAGGGAGGGGGCTTGGGGGATTGGCTGGAGAAGTCGTACATAGGGACAGGGTAAATCACTGTCGCAACATTCGTATGATTATATTTTTCTGGATACAATGATGGACACATGTAACTGCCGTGATCTTCTGACCAGCACCTTATGTGAGAGATGCATAGAACACTGGCGTTGATAGATGGCAAATATAGAGCATTAGCACAATTCATCTGGAAAAGCATGTGCCCTCCTTCGATTTCGACATTATTCGCCTTTCAGTAGCTCACGAATTATAATTAATGAAAATGGACCTATAATTCACAACTTGCATTGAGTAACATTTGTAAGTGCACGTGTGTGGCCAGCCGGTCACAGTACGACGATGTAAGAATCCATGGATGCCCAACGGAAACTGTCCACGCGCTCAACGCAAGACCATTTCTTCTTTGCATGAAGAAACATTTCATGCGCCTGGAAGTTGGGATGGTTCGGAAGACGGACCGTGACGCAGTAGATGAAAGATAGTTATCGTGTCAGATCTATGGTTTGGTCGATGAAACCCACCCACCCGCTATGCTGGCACTGATTTCGAAACGCAGCATAAACGTGACAGCCCATATTAATGGAGACTGAATAATACTGATTAAATATGTAGCCTATTGTTGTCATGTTTGCAGCAACGTTGATACGTTCCTTTTTGTTTTCCCCCCTTTTCTTCATTGGGGATAATGGGTGGTGGGCAGCTTTTGTTTATTCATTTTGGAGGTGCGAATTGTCAAATTTCCCCATGGGTTCTGCACATATACAGTATATTTATTGCGGACCACATCAGGGAATGCCATGACCTCCCTTGATATACTTTGCCATCAGGCTTGGGGTAGTGGTCAGCTAGCCGGGTGGTCATCTTCAGCGGTCTTTGAATGTTTCAGCCCGATGGAATCATCCAGCCTGCAAATTCAGTTCATTCAAAAGGAAAATTATCTTCTCATGAATAACTGCATATACCAGTGCCATTATCACTGCACTGCCTGTAGAACGACATACCGCCTTTGCAGTCATCGGCCTCTGACGAAGGAATGCCTGAACACCATGTTTCACCCGGGGGCCATCTCCTCAGTCAGCAGTGAATCAATAAATAATATAGCAGATAGAACTATTCGCTAAGGCCAAAGTATGAACTAATTAAGCCATCAGAGAGGCTGAGAATGTAATGGGAAACATCTTAGATCATGATCTTGCGCCACAAGAGAATCATGGGGTAGGTTCGAGGAGGGGTTAAGGGAGTGATTATACGCACGAGGTCGAAGACGAAGGTGAATCGTGATGGCCCAAGGAAGCCTGGTTCTGATGGTCTTTTCCTTTCTTGCACACATTATTCTCTTATTGGAGCTGGAGCTGGTGACGGGAATAAGATCCCAACGTTTGGAAGCTTTGGGATGATGCAGACTTGCACCGTAGTGACCTAACAGCAAAGATTAGTGAAGTGTCTCAGCTGGCTGGCACACGATGATTTTTCGAGGTTTCGCATGATGGATATAGATGCCATCCGCTTCACGCGCTGCTTTGCCACTTCTTCCACATCTCTACCTCAAGATGCATGCCAGTGACCTCCGTAGTTCGTAGGTATTGATGGAATGTTGAAATACGGGTTGAACGTCGCTAACTACGGCTGATTCGAGGGATTGATTGATAAGATTGTTAAACAATCCCATCATCCATGTGACTCGAAGCAGCACAACCCTCTACGTGCTATCTATCCCCCATTAGGAATGCCAACCTACATCGATCTCATCTTCCTGTTACTCCGTTATTTACTCCACAGACGCTTCGTGTTCACGGCGGGGATATAATAGTAACACCAGCGATATGCCCCGTATATATCCCGCTTCATTTTCAACCTCGCGATAATGCTTTAACTGCCGCCCTTCCCGCCAACCCGCTTGACTGTTCCCTTTCACCTGCTCCAGCTAACCATGCTGGAAAACCGCCTGAGGGGCCTGCTTGAACGGCGGCAGCAGTCCTACGAGCAACTGCGGGATGAAGCGGATGATGAGGTTATTGACCATGGCGTGCCGTGCAGTGACAGCGGGCTTCTGGAGGACTACGTGTCTTCACCTTTCTCATGGCTGGAGTATTCCATCTTCTTCTGGATGGGAATGAATATGCTTTGGGCTTGGTATGTTCACTTTCAAATATTGATTGTTTAATGATCTGCGACAACAGTTCTGCTGCTGCATAGAGCTATGCATATATATTATTTTTATATATGCATGTTCACGCGAAAGTCAGAAACTAATATCTGAACCCTTAGGAACATGTTTTTGGCCGCAGCCCCATACTTCCAGCTCCGCTTCGCATCCAACCCTTGGGTCAAGGCAAATTTCCAATCCTGCATCCTGTCCGTTTCCTCCATCGTCAACCTAGCTGCAGTGCTGGTCCTGGCAAAACTACAGATGAATGCCTCCTATCCCGGACGTATCACCTCATCTCTGATCCTCAACATGGTCATCTTCACCCTGTTGGCTCTGTCCGCCATTCTATTCCGCTCCGCCTCCGTCCCCATCTACTTCACCTTCCTACTTGTGATGGTTCTCGGTGCCAGTATTGCAACAGGGTATAATCAGAATGGTCTGTTCGCATATGCATCTGGGTTTGGACGGAGTGAATATATGCAGGCCATCATGGCAGGACAAGGCGTGGCGGGTGTTCTACCATGTATAGTCCAGATCCTCTCAGTCATCGCTGTGCCGGAGCAAAGTGAGGGTGTGAGCGACAAAGAGATGCAATACAAATCATCCAAATCCGCTTTCGCATTCTTCATCACCGCCACCCTCGTGTCCGCCATCTCCTTCCTCGCCTTCCTCTACCTCCACCGTCGCCAAAAGAAATTAACCCTCTTCAAAACCGCCATCCCCATCGGACCAAGTGACGAAGAGCCCGAATTCTCTACAACAAATATCACCACCACCACCACCACCACCACCAAAGCCAGGGACTCAGTCCCTCTCTGGACCCTATTCCAAAAACTCCGCTGGATGGCACTGGCCGTCTTCCTATGTTACGCAATCACAATGGCCTATCCCGTCTTCACCAATCAGATCCGCAGCGTCAGAGACACGACGAACACGGGCCCGACACCCACCAAACCCCTCCCCCGCCTCTTCCAATCCCCCATCTTCATCCCCCTAGCCATCTTATTCTGGAACACCGGCGACCTCGTGGGCCGCCTCATCCTCCTCATCCAGCAAATAAACATACACCACCGCCCAGTACTGCTCTTCCTCTTCTCCGTCGTCCGCATCGGTTTTATCCCACTGTACATGCTGTGCAATATACACGGGCGTGGCGCCTGGATTAACAGCGACCTGTTCTACTTGGTTATCGTGCAGTTTCTTTTCGGTGTGTCGAATGGGTATATTGGCGCGTCATGTATGATGGGAGCAGGGGAGTGGGTGGATGTTGAGGAGAGGGAGGCTGCGGGTGGGTTTATGGGTTTTATGCTGGTGGCTGGGCTGACCTCAGGGAGTTTGTTGAGTTTTTCGGTTGCTAATTAGACCGGTGACCTATGTATTTGGGGGGGGGGGGGGGGATTCTTTTTCTGGGATGTCATTTATGTTTCCATGGCTGAGATTATGTTCTTGGACTTATGCTATTGCCTTTTTTGGGTTGTTTTCGGTTTCTGTTTCTTGATACCCACCCAAACTACCAGAACGTTTCGGATGATTGATGCTGAAGTAATATATAGAACGCTCATATCAACCCCTGAATCCACATGGGTTGCTTTGATGACTACTGTTAGAGTAGAGCAGAGGTACATGATTCCCATGAATATATCATGAAAATATATTAAAGAATATGCACATTCAATTAATAACACTGTCATTATAAGGGTTGAATTTATATCAAAGCCAAAAACACAAGTCTATTAGGTTTAAGAAATACATATTTCTCTATCTATACAGGTATATAAGTGGCTCAGAACAAATTCATAACGAAAGGGAAATTGGTAATGGAATAAAACAAAAGGGAAATTCATGATAAACGACTTAGTTTATCCCACATTCCCGTACAAGTCGAAAGGGGTGAAACATAAGGACGAGAGGGGAGAGTGGAGGGCAAGGGGAAGGGGAAGAAGAGGGAAGGGGGAAGAGGAAAAGGGTAGAGTTAATAATCAAACACATTGGGCGGGAGGTTTTTGATACCTGCCATATAACAATAGAATAGAATCGGTCGGTGGTGAATGGTATTCGTTGCATATTAGGGTGGTATAGTGAGTGTTGCTGGGGGATATGGGTATATATCTAGATATAATATATAAATGCATGAGGAAGCACGGTAAAATACCAAATATCATGCATCCATAGATGATGGAGGGAAAGAAAAAAGAGAAAGTTCAAGGGTATGGTTTAGCAAAGTCCTATGCGATGGAGGACGGGGTAAGATGGGCAGAGGATAAAGGAGAAACGAATCTATGGTCTTCAGGCCTTGAAGGACGAGACCACAGGATCGTGACCTTTGGGACGGGGAGGATAGGAGCTGGGGAACAAAGAGGAGGGAAGTGACACAGCAAGCAAAGAGTATTCACATTTGCTATCCATCTATTTTTCTTGGGACGGCTGTTGCTTAGAAGTAGCAATACTGGCCTCTATCCCAGCAGCCACAGCATATTTCTCCTTAGAAGCTCCCTCAGCAACGCCGTCCCTCTCAACAAGCTTCTCCGGCTCCGCATCACTATCATCATCATACTCCCCATAATCTTCCTCCCCTTCCTGCAGCATCTGCTGCAACTCCTCCTTCTCAGACGGCGGTCCCCTAACCACCGACTGCACAGCCCCCCCTTCAGAGCTCATCTGCCACTCCATAAGCTTCGTAAACGCGCCGTCCGGTCGCGCGCTCAGTTCCTGATACGAACCTTGCTCCGCAACGTGGCCGTCACCGCTGAGTACGATGATGGTGTCGGAGCGCTTGATGGTGGAGAGACGGTGGGCGATGCTGATTGTCGTATTGTTGCCGCGGAGTAACGCGGCAAGAGCGCTGTTGACCAGCGTCTCGGATTCGGCATCGAGGGCGGACGTGGCTTCGTCGAGGATGAGGATGTCTGGGTTTTTAATCAGGGCACGGGCGATGGCGATTCGCTGCTTTTGGCCGCCGGAGAGTTGAGCGCCGCGGGCGCCTACGTGTGTGTCGAGGCCATCGGGCTGAATCGAGAAACGAGTCTTGTATTAGTAAACCGGGTAGGTGGGAATGCTTGGAGAGGAAGGTAGATGTCACTTACGAAGTCACTGATGAATTGACAGTTGGCCTTGCGCGCCGCTGCGATAATTTCCGTCCTTGTCGCATGGGGCTTGCCGTAGGATATGTTCTCAGCGATAGTTCCAGAGAAGAGTACGGGCTCCTGCGCGACGACGCCGATTTTCCTTCGTAGAGACTTTGCATTCATTGAGGAGATGTCCTTCCCATCTATCAGGATCTGGCCTCTGGTAGGTTTGTAGAAGCGCAGTAACAAGGAGGCAATCGTGGATTTACCGCCCCCCGAGGGGCCGACGATTGCAACGTTGCTTCCTTGCGGAATCTCAAAGTCGAGGTCTTTAAATACAGTCACTGCGGGTCTGGTGGGATAACTGAAATCCAAATTCTTGAACCGGATCGCTCCCCTTGCCGAAACCACTTTATCTCCTACAGTAGGGGGAATAGTGGGATGGCGGTCTTGGAGCTCGAATAGTCGACTGGCAGCACCAACGCCCTTCATCAGTTCTGAATAGAAGCTGGACAAGCCAAACATGCTTGATCCAGCGTATGCTGCATACATGAGGAATGAAGTCAAGTCTCCAATGGAAATGGCCCCGGACTGGACCATTCCACCACCAACATAGAGTAAACTCAAAATCGTCATATTTCCCATCAAACCGGTCTGCAAAGATACAAATAGCTGTCAGCATATACCAGATTTGATGAAAATTAGTGATTAGAAGTACTCACGGTGCTAAAGAACGCTGCGCTAACGAGAGACTCTCTCTTTCCCAGCTCAAAAATTCTCCTGGTTTGCCTATTATATCGATGGACCTCCAAAATCTCTCCTGCAAAAGACTGACTTGTCTTCACATTTCCCAGACGCTCCTCCGCGATTTTGGTCAGGCTACCCAGGTTCTTCTGAATCTTGCGACTAATATTTCTGATTGATCTGCCGTATAAGAACGCTCCAAGGGACACTGGGGGTATCAGCAAAAGGAGAATGCTTGACAGCTTAAGACTGACAAAGGCCATCAGACCAAACCCAGCAACGCCACTAACAGCAGCCCTAAGTCCATCTGAAAGATTCTGCGTGATACTTTTGCCGACGATTATCGTATCCGAGCTTAGCCGGGAAATCAAGTCACCGACTCTGTTGGCATCGAAAAACTCCGCATCCTGCATAAAAGTACGTCTGAAGAGCTTAGATCTTAGTCGCGCAACAATACGTTCCCCCACAATCCGTAGAATTATAATACGACCACAGTTTGCAGCAGCACCCAACAAAAGAACACCGCCCAGGACACTGTAGAAGACGGGGAGTGTGAGGCCGAACAATTCATTGCCACCTTCAGGGCTGCTATGCGTTGCGATATCGAGAATCTTGCCGATGGAAAACGGAATCGACATGGTGATAGATGACGAGATGAGCAAGCAGAGTAACGCCATGGACAGGATTTTGGCCTCTGGACGGGCAATTTTCAATAACCGCCATATCTCGCGAAAGCCGAGCCTCTTCCCGCCCGCATCCTTTGATAATCTTGCGCTAAGGTTTAATTTCGCTGCTTGTGATGCCTTCTCCGTACGCTCAAATCCTCTATGTATCTCTTCTAGAGCGGTTTCTTGTTTCTTTTCTAGCTCTGTCTGCGGCTTCTGCGGCTTCCGCAGCTTTTTCGCGGGCTCCGGTTTGGCTTCTTTTCGCCGTGCTGTCGTAGAGGAGAGGAATCGGACCTGCTGAAGACAACCAGGTCCCACGATAGATGAAATAGTGACATGTATATTTGTTGCAGATGACTTTCGGATGTCTGGCTGCCGTAGGATGTCTGGTCGTTGGGTTACGATGGGGGCGTTCGACTGGTGACGTCTTAAGCCACCGCTAGCATCAAGCGATGGTCTCTGGGCATGGAAGGAGGTATAGTTAAATAAGGGAAGCGATCGCGATCCAAACTGAGCAATGCGACGTGAAGATGCTCGTGGAGTGAAGGCGGCAAGCAGCCCTGATCTGCGCATTTCGAGGAGCTGTCCAAGCTTCGAGCCACTCATTTAACCCATCAGTGAAGTGGGGAACCTATCGAGAGATAGAGACGGCAGGGAGTTCCATATTAGACAAAGGTGTGACGGCCAGGAGCAACACCAACTCAAGATTGAGAATATGTATAATATCGAATATTAATTGTATACCAGAGGGGGGCTAAATATTCGGCTTGATTGGGTTGTCTGTCGAAGAAAACCAAGAAAATCTTTTTAGACGGGTTGGGTTGACGTTGCGATGTTCGGAGAAGAGATTCGAATCACGGGGAATAATTTGTTCAACAGGTTTTGCGACAGTAAATAAAAACTGCGCCACTGGCCGTTGGGAGAGATAACTTAACACTACAACAAACTCGCTGTAAAAACTGCAAGACACGTACCGTATAGCTAACTGTCTGATATTATATCTTAATTTTACTGCTCTCGGCTGCTTATTCGTGCTTCTTGTTGTTCTATTCGGTCTGTCCCCGCATATCTATTACCCCAATTAACGACAAAAATTGCCCCTATATTCCCCAACCGTGCCCCGTCTGGCTTCTTGCTTCTTGTCAGCCAACATGGTTCTCGACTACAGCAAATGGGACGCCCTCGAGCTCTCTGACGACTCCGATATAGAAGTACATCCCAACGTCGACAAACGATCTTTCATCCGTGCAAAGCAGAACCAGATCCACCAGCAGCGCATTCAGCGTCACCAAGAAATCGAAACTCTCAAATACTCCCGCATCATAAATGATGGACTGCTGAAACGCATTGATGGCCTCATAGCCTCACTTAAGAGCCATGAAGGCAGCTCCAGGGCACCAGATGAACTGGTCTTCCAGGCCCTGATCGAGTCTGCCGGAGACCCTGGCGAAGATACTCCACCACCGGCTCCAGAAGATGTATTTCAGCAGGAAAAGGAGCAGCCGAAATATTCACAGATGATGGGGTCATTGGTAGACCAGGTGAAGAAAGAACTGAATGAATCGAAGCCGGAAGATCGATTCGAGGCATACATCAAGGGAGTGGAAGGACATAAGAATAGAGTATTGGACCTGCAGCAGCAGTTATTGGAGAAGCTGGATGCCCTAGAGAAAGAAGAGGCCAGCAAAATTACTAGTGACAGCATACACACCGGCTTCGATAGCTCATTTGTCAACAAATCCAAGCCTAAGCCTGCGCCATCAGAGAAGAAGAAAAAGAAGGAAACCGCCCCTTCCGTGGAATTGCTGAACCCCGGTGCCGCTGCTAACGGGGATGTGGGGGCCGTGTCCTCCGGAGCGGAAGCGGACGTCGAAGATGAGGAGGATGAGGACGACATCAAAGCCACCCCGCTGGCTAAGCAATTCGCCATGATCAAACTTGGAGACTACAGATCCTGCCTTCAGTTCATAGGAGATCACCCCGAAATTGTCACGGAACACAAGACAGATGAATTACTCATGGAAGCATTCGATGCCCAGCTATCAGGGAAGGAAGAATATGCCCGCCAATGCGTACATCAAGGCTTGCTGCTGCAATATTGCCGCTCCCTTGGCAGCGATGGGGTGGGTCTCTTCTTTAAGCGGTAAGATTTAAAAGCGCCTTCTTCCATAACATCTGCAGTAAGATACATATAGAGATCTATAGAGTCAAGATAACTAACTCATCCCAACAGCATAACAACCAAAGATCACCAAGCCTCAACACTATTCCACAACGACGTTAACGAAACCTACGGCAAGATAAAAGTCCGCGCCGCAGAACTAGCTAAGAATTCCTCCGACGGACCCGCCGAAGTCGAGCAAATCCAACTCCACGCCGTCGACCCGAATACGAAACTCAATATCAAAATCCCCACGCCGGGAAGCGCGGATCCCGAGTCCGTTAAGGCGCTGGAGATCTTCAATGCGTTCCCGCTGGAGTTGCAGAAGGCGCTCAAGTCTGAGAGTCTCGATGAGGTTAACAAGGTGCTTGGGAAGATGAGTGTAGAGGAGGCGGAAGATGTTGTGGAAAAGCTAGGGTCTAGTGAGATTTTAACGGTGGAGGAGGGGATTGTGGATGCAACGACGGAGGAGGGGAAGAAGTGGTTGAGTGAGATTGAGGGGGGGAAGGGGGTGGGGCAGGATGAGCGGGAGGGGGGGGTTATAGAATATGATAAGGTGATGGAGGTGGAGAAGAAAGGGGAGGTTGTTGGGGACCCTGAGTAAGCTGATCAGTGGGGCTGGTGGGAGAATTGTGTTGTCCAATCTCTTTTTCCATTCGTTTCTATGATTTGAAATGCCTTCATTTCATCGAGGTTGAAGAATTCTGAGTTCCTTTTTCTGTTGAAGTTGAGTCTTTCATTCTGTCTAGATTTTGGTTTTCCTTTTTTTTTTTTTTTTTTTTTTTTTTTTTTTGGTGAGCGAACGAGGGATGATTGCTGCGATTTGCTGCGAGATATTTTCGGATTTCATACCTCGGGATGTTAAAAGGTGGGAGCGGCAAAGGCATACCTTGGAGAGAAGAATTCTAAAGCTATGGAGGGACAACGAGACACGGTTCGTGGAATTACTAAGCCATCCAAAGTAGAGAACTACCCTTTAACAGGAGAGAAGGTGAGGAGGAGATGAAGGAAAGCAGTTGATGAAATGAGTATAGCTAGTTTCCCCTTTATTGTCATGTTATCTACATCCAATATCGTGTTCTAGGTCCGCTAATGACATATCTCTGCTCTCACTCCACTCATCACATCCAGTCGTTCAATACTTACTATTCTATACATGTCCGTATAAACTATTTGCATGATGATAATTCGCACTCAGCGAATAAAGAGCAAAAAGAATAAGAAATCAAAATATACAAAAACTCCCAATGCCAGAGCAAATCTCGTCATAAGATATTGTTTCATATCGTAGGAATAAAGCATTCGAAGAGAGGCAGAATATAAAATAATAATACAATGCACGAAGTGAAATAAATAGCACGTGAAATATAGTAAGTATCACATCATTTTGAAAGTAGATATGGGCGAATTCATCACATGAGGATGTGCCACGCTCTCTGGTTATGATGAAACATATGCCGCCCTGTAAAAAAGTATATATCAGAGGCAATTTTTAAAGATAAAAGAGAAACCAATCAATCGCCAGGTCGAATGCACCAGGGTATATCCAAGAATGTAAATACAAAACTGTGAAAAAAAACCCTTGAGAAGACAGCTTGTCTATCTCTATAGTTCCATCGCATCAAAAAAAAATAAAATAAAATAAAGTCGCCAAAACCGAACAGAATGAAAAAAAGAAAAATGCATAATGACAAGGAAGAATATGGTAACTATAAAAGTGTTGCTAGAGTGAGAAATGAAAAGAGTAAAAATATGACATTGTCCGGTTGTCAGAACTTCAATAATGCAAAACAAAGAACGCTCCGGAGCCCGCCCGAAAAAAAGCTAAGAAAAAATAAAATAAATAAAATAAACCGATGAAGGCAGAATGCTGTCTAATTCTATACACGCCATGCCAATGAAGCTGCTGAAAAACAAAATCCCCTCTCCTCCCCCCCCCCCCCCCCAAATATATATATATATATAAAATAAAAAGGAAAAATAAAAATTAAATAAGGAAAAGAAAAGGATGGACATGACAACATGGATGCTACTTTTCGCACCCATTTACCGTAACATTTCAACGCTGAAAAGAAGGAAAGTCTGTATGGTAGGTATCCGTCACTTTCTGCGCTTCCGCATATACCGGGAGGGGGGTGCCCCAGTCATTCTGTGCAGGCACGCTTGGTGATCTTGACCCGTCTCTTTTCAAAACGGAATAAGGATTGTTGCGGTAATGATTTTTGCATTGTCCATATCCGTCCCAAAATCACCATCCTTTTTCAGTCATTCACAAAAGCCGACGTGTTTGACCAACATATATACCTGTCGCAGTCAGGCCAATCGTATATGGGAGACTGAAATAGGGACCATGCGGGAGAGCGCTAGGGATCTGCAGGACACGGAAAACAATAAGTTTTCCCCAGCTTTGCGAACAAAGATTGCTGCGATCTTGATTAAAATGAAGCATTGCGCAAGAGTCCAATCCAACCACGCACAATTTCCCGTCCTCTTCGATGCCAACACATGGTCGTGTTAGGACGTTATTTCCGGGCGCAAAAGAAGAAAACACAGACAAAGAATGAAAATCCAAAAGGTAATAATGGGATTCCATTCAAAGATTTTGTTTATCCTATCTGCGCCATGAACTGCCCGATCTTCTCGCAAAGCTTCGGCTTATCATTCCAAGGTTGGAACTTGCCCTCCATCTCGCAAGCGGTAGTCCTCAACTCCCCCCAAAGTCTCCGCTCGATATCAAAACCGACTTTGGCAATCATTTCGCGCGCAGGACCCCACATTCGCTGTGGCTTGCCCTCGCCATCCCACGCCAGTCCCTTCTCACCAAAGACGCTCATTGGGTCTAGTTTTGGCAGGTTGGCGTGGCAAGTGATGAATGATTCGGGAGGAGAGCTGGGTTTGTCGCTCCAGCCGTAGACTTTGCCCTTCGGGATCTTGAAGTCCCATATCGGATTGACTTGGAGGATCACGCCGCCTTCCCAGTCCCCGTTGGGTTTTCGGTAGCCGAATACGGCTGGTCCGGTGGAGACGGCGTAGAATGGGAGATTCAAGATCATGGCGGGGGCAATGAAAGTTTCTTTGTCTCCTTCACCTGGGTGACCCTGAGATAGTAAGAGATAGTAATGCGACGGGCCATAGAAGTTGTAATAAGCTGATAGCAGGAGCATTTTCGCGTGGGATTTCTTGGATACAAGGACCTGGCCAGATTCTGTGGATGCGTGGCTAAATCCCGTTGGGACTTTTTGGGATGAGACTTCGAAGAATGAAGGATGATAGGTAACTTGCCAGAAGTCGGGCCAGGTAACCATGCCTGTTGAAATGAAGGGATCTGAGTCGAATAGGTGGATTGGGTTGTGCATGGGGAAAGCATCCGCGTCGAGGAAGAGTACCTGCTCGAAAGAGGAGAAAAGGAGTGAGAAGATCTTGAATTGGTATTTCTTTAGACCCTCGTCTAACGGTGAGAAATCCAAGATTTCTGCCAGGATGACGCATTTCGCGTTCATTGAAGGCAGAAGGACGCCGCAGACGTATTCATCGTATTCACTTTTGTCCGCCACGAATATTTCAGCAGGCAAGTCTGAGCCTGTCTTCCGCAGCATATGCAGCGAGGTAACTAGTACGGGAAGATATTTCCCCCCTGCGGTAGACACAATACCCTTTGTGCCCGGAGTGTACTGCAGTCTAGGCGCTGTCGAGTCTGAAAGAAAGCTGGTAAATAGCAAGTGGGCCTTCTTCAATATCTCCCTGTCCTCCCTGTCCACGATAATATGTTCCGGTAAGGTGACATTCTCTATCTGATCGGGCTTGAAGCCAATTGCGGCGGGATGGTCTTCTATCCGTCTAGGCGACTTGCAGTGCGGTTCAGCAGCCTTTAAGATCTCATGGAAGGTCACCCAGAACTCGCCGTGTTTTGCGGTGGTCGGAATGCCATTTTGAATTGATTCTGAGGAATCGTTGTCTGCGGAGGAGGAGGAGACGGTTCTGCGGAGGGTGAAGTAGAGGAAGAGGGCGATAAGAACCAGCGGAAAAGTTCGCCGATACCTCGGACCTTGCACCATGTTGATATGATGACTACGCGAGAATTCCTCCGTCTGTCAAGGAGGACGGCTGAAGGAAAAGATTGTCCCGGCAGCCGGGGCTGAGGGAGACAGGGGAGCAGGGAAAAGGCAAAAGGAAAAAGAGGAAAAGGGGACATGTGAAGGAAGAGGAGAGGTTGGTGAAAACAGGCGGCGGTTGAGATACAAAAAAGCCGGGCAGCATTTATAGATCACGTGATATGCACCACGACCGCCCCTTGGTACGCGGGCATTGTTACTTCAGCTGAACATAGATGTAATGGAATGGATGGGTTGATGTATTCGAGGAAAATATGAACAACATATGTGTTCAAAGCCTGATTTTCAGCTCTCCCGATATTGTACGGGAGGTGTCAGTCAGTTCATCTGGGCTTCTGTAAAATTTGTCTTTTTGATGGAAGGCGGGCATGGATGCGATGCGATCTCCCCTACACTAGTCTGGGCCGTTTGGTTGTTTCTGGGAGGCAGAAATCCTTGTGTTCATGCCAGAACTTGAATTGTTGCTGAGGGAGTCAAGGGTCAAAATTCAAGGTGTGTTTGACGGAGCGCGCAGTGAATAACAAGAGCAGGACCTGACAGTCATGAATGGGAATCCCAGCCCTTGCAAGGTCGCTGACTGACGAGGAAACACCACGCAGCTACACAGCTGTCAGGGGCTATACCTGGTTCTTAGTGAATCCACTACAATGTAGCTTGCTGCATCTGGCATTACGCGCCACTATCAAGGAACGATGGTTATATATCACCAAGTCACCTGTTTCTGTGGCAATGGGCTTAAATATCCTTAACTCAAGGAGGTGTCTCTCATCCTGATCCTAACCCCAATCCCTGATTTTAATTCCTGGTCCTGCTGGTCCATCCACCCGTCGTTCCGTGGGTTTATACAGCCCAGTTCGAAGGTTGACTGAATAATGGCCCGCCCCTTAACAGGGCTAACTGCATACGTCTGAGAACGTCTCCTATCTCAACCTTGGAAAGTTTCTCAACCTCCTCACCTTCGAAAGAATTCCTCCTAATTACATCCTCTCACTTTATCGTACTTCAGGCCACGAACAGCTGACTTATCACTATTACGTCTTAGTTAATACACACTGATCAATGCGGTCAGCTTAGCGCGCATTGATCAAGTGAATGTGTAACTAACTAGGCTGGTTTTTGAAAGCCAAACCATCCCAGGATCATTATTGTCTGCACTCCACATAACGTTAACTAATCCACCCGCAAGCGAGCAGCCCATCCAAAAATATTTTTCCATCTCCTAACTCATCCAACTTCAACACGCAATTAAGCCACCAATTCGCAATAAAAATACTAGAAACTCCATAGAAATAGAGGAAAGACTTGAACTCAGAATAAATCTCCTCTATTTCTAAAGCTGCACACCTTTTTGATGTGCCATACTCTACTCTAGACCGTAGATTTTAAGTTAGGGATGTGAGTTTATGTATATATATTCAAATAAATTAACCAATTCTGAGTAGAATGTGCTAGTTAACTGGTTCAGTGAGATTTTAATCTAGCTAAAATAAGAACGCCTCTTTTAGCTGGTATTTATTGAGAATATGATTAATCATTTTTCTTTCTTATTCTATATTTATTTCATCTCCTTTATATATTGATCAGAACTAGATCTGTTAAGTCAAGTAAAGACTGTAAAGTTATTTAACAGCTAAATATTCATTCGACTTTGAACTTCTACTCTCACAAATCGTTAATTTAACAACTCTTGTCGGTTGCATAGGCAGTTAAATAAGGCCAAAAATCTGATAAGACAAAGCCTTGAGAATCTCTTTCAGAGCTTGGTGAAAGGTCTTTTATCAGATTTTCAAGATCTATAAATACATCATAGTTAAATGTCAAAGATCTAAACGCAGAATTCAACATAGAGGAGGTCTAGCCAGGGAAGAGGCTGCAACAGATCATTGTTCTGTTCGTTGCGTCTGTTAAACAGCCAGTCATTCAATTCCTCATTCCCAAGGCCTCAGGGGGTCGGTCTATGCCGCGCTCACGAGCACTACCACAGTGCAGCAATTGCAATACACTCCGGCATAGAAGAACACATAATCCTATAATAATAAAATAATGCAATATAATTCATGGTTGTTCGAGCGTAGATATTTCAGGTTAAAATCCAGCTGGTTGGAATTCGGGAGATTTGGCTGCTCGCTCAGGGGCCGATTACATAACCAGATCTCCATGTGAACTAACTAGTTAACTGGTAAGTTAGTTCATCGGTAAGTGAGCCACACCAGTCAGCGAGCCACTCTCTAAAACGCGACGTGTTAGTGAACACTAACATAGTTGTCAACCACATGAGATAAAGCTTCTTGTCAGGGAGGAAGAATTTTACTGATATTCCTCATTTTATTCCTACTCATGAGATTGATGACTGTCTCACAATGTGAATCTTTGTCTAAAACTCAAAAATTGAGCTTTACAAAGGCGTCAATCTTTGTCCAACATATATTATATCCGTGGATGAATGAGGTCAACTCCTCTGAGTTGATACCGTGTGAGAAATGGCTTATATTCTCCTTGTCAGTTAAGATGATTCAACTACTGCAATTATAGTTAGTAAATACTGAGTTCAATGATTGATTAGTTGATATGAAAAGCTCAAAATCAAGTTTTCTGAAAAGTATGCTTATCAGTGAGCTTTATATGAGAATTCAAAAGTTATTTATGAATGATTTTGATTTGTGAAGAATGTTATTGCCAAGTATGAGATAGTGAAGAAGGATGTATAACTTTGATGATGAGAATGAGTTTCAGATGAGTGTTATTGAAATACAAAAAGTGATTGCTAGATCTGAGAAAACTAGCTATCTAAATCTTATCTAGTCAGGAAATTGAAAATGAGTACAAATCATCTTCAAATACAAGATGCATCAGAGTTGCTAGTATAAGAATATGATATTACTGTATGACTGAGTAATTGGAGTCAGTGAGAATGGCTGAACAAATAATAAGCTGGGACTAAAATGACTTGAAGAGGTGTTTAACAAAGACACTTAGATGTGCACGCACAGTTGATCAATATTGATTCTTGATTCTTGATGGACATGAAAGTCATAAATAGTACTGCTGAATTTGATACACTCTGTACTGAGAACAAGATTATTTCACTCTAACATGCCATCTCATAGTCATTGGATGTTGGACAAGCAATCAAAAAGACTAAACTTGGCATCAATCATATTAACAAGGAGTAGTTTTCTGGCCCAGAATGCTACTCAGCTGGAGCACCAGACTGATGCAATCAACAAGTACATCAGCCACTGGACAAAGAGCTCACTCAAACCTACCAATCTAGCTCTGAACCAGTTGGTCAAGGGGTGCCAAATGGCAATGCATAGTGCTGCTCTTTTGACAAAGGAAAACAAGGAATTTAGAGCTGCCAATGAGAAACAAAAGAGAAAGGGTCGTACTTATATAGATAGCATTTTAAATGTGAATCGTGCACACAGAAGCAATCAAGAGCTGGAAAGGGGGTAGTTAGAGACTTTCAATCCTCAATCATGAAAGCGAGCCATACAACGATGTAGTCTATGTGGTACTCTAGGACATACAGCCCGTTGTGAGTGAGTGAGTGAGTGAGTGAGTGAGTGTGTGTGAGTGTGAGTGAGTGTGTGTGTGTGTGTGTGTGTGTGTGGCTCGCGGACTGATGAGGGGGCTCGCTGACTACGTTAGTGTTAGTTAAACTGACTACTAACTAGTTGCAATAAATCGTCGGTCTCTCTCCCGGCTCACCAAAAAAGAACCAAGACGCTTTGCCTACGACACCACAAGCGCCATGGTTATTTTATCAAGCCCTGACCAAGCAACTCCCCACATCCTGAGACCTGATGTGGACTCCCTTGCGCAAGCCTAGCCAGATGTGTTCGGGTCTGGCGCCTATGTTTTGCTTGCATCAGGTATTTTGGCTGACTATGAACTGGGACTCGGGGACAATGAGGACTGACTGCCCTTCAGTATCTTGTGGCAACTTTGTCCCGTTCCTTTTCCTCCAATGAAATAAAAATGGGGAATGCAATAGCATGCTGGGAAGACTCCCGGTCCCGGACTTTTTATTATTTCAATTCTTTTATATTCCCTTTTTTTTAAAAAAAATATTTTTTTTTTAAAAAAAAGGGAGACGATCCCACTCAGCAAGCTGAAGATAACCCCCCCCCCCCCCCCCCCCCTATGGATGATCAAAAAGGGGGGCTCTCCCTTAATGGCCTGGCCCTCTCTTTCCTCGACCTTGG